ATTCTGTAGATAATACGCACCAATACCATGGTGTGCACGTTGTGGCTGCCGGTATTGTAGTATTACAAATGAGATTCACACGAGTCTTTATGTGTATTTCCAAAATGCTTACTGTATAATAGCTCGATGTAAAAACAATTAGCAGGAAATAGCGTTTGGATTTCATTATCCGCGCACCTCCACCATTAGAATATCAAACAACAATGTGCCATACAGTTTATTCTGCCTGCAAAGCAAAGCTTTCAATGCTCACTTGTGAATTCTCAGCAGGCAACCTTAATTGATGGCCCCATACTCCGTGCTAAAGTGGAAAAGGCATTACGAACAGAAAGAAGTAAACTGTTCCAAATGAATGGATGTAGGTGCTCTGCATTTAAATGAGAACTAGCGAGTGTGTAGTGACATTGCGCATGGCGCGTTGTTTGCCGTTCTGTGTTGAATGCAGTTATTACATTTGATGGTTCGGAACTCAAAAGAGTTTCGATGTATTTTTTCGGTGAGGACAGGTACAGCCAATGGGAACACGGATCGCGGATCTCATAGGAATGTCCACTCAATGCCATGGGGTATCCAATCCATGGAGCAAGGCGACGTGTACTTTCTGAAACTTGACCCTGCAAGCCTCGACAGTTATACAGTCATACAGTCACACACCTTCGGTCCAACTGCACCACGCCGACCATGTTCCCAAACTATACCAGTCTCACTTGCTTGCGTGTTGTTATTAATGAGTTTTATTTGCTGATTTGTCTTGTTCGAATATTGCAGGTTTGGAAAGGGCAGTTCTTAACAAGCTATCGGGCAGCTGGATATATTTCAAACCAGGGCTCCAAGATGTGTTGCCAACAAATATTACATATAAGAAAATTAATGGGAATTGAATATTTAGGACAAAATTGTAAAAAAAAACAGAACGTTCTCGACATCAGGCAACGATACCTATTCCCTGCTTTGACAATATCTCAACATGCCAAGTGTAAAGCAGCAGCCGCAGCTAGCGACAAAAGCACCAGTTCTCTAGTAAACATGTTATTGTCCAACGGCGGACAGAAGTTTCAAATGTTCAACACATTGTCGGATGACTGACAGATTAACAACATGTTTTCTTTAACACAGCGTGGGCACAGCTCCACTTATGGTCAGCTTCTGACTTCTCTTATGTTCCCCCTCAATGACCTCAGACAAATAATAATAAACTTGAAAAATAAAATCTAAACCTTTTGATTTCTGAAGGACAGTAAAGGCAAGCGGTGACATTTTATTGGTACATTCAGGTATTCCCGTTTAAATCAGGAATGCTGTTGCTGTATCAAAACCACTGAATAGCAAATGAAATACGGATTAACCACCCACGGTGGTGGCTATCTAAGTGTGTTTATTTATTTATTTACGTATTATTTAGTTTGGTTCTTAGCGTCTTTACGGGCTTTCATCCCCAATTTTAATCTCAGATATTGCGGTTTTTGTTTTGTTCCCCTCATGTGCATTTGGCATCTTCCGAAGTTACCTTTACTGAAGTACTCCATAATTCATCAGAAACCTCTTTGTGAGGCAGACGGGGAATGAAAGTGCAGCAGAAATCCGCTCATGTGTTCCCCTCTCTTCTCTGACAGTACATTGATGATTTGTTCTCTTTAATTCTGCATCTTCCTGTGGCATTCTGTCCCTTCAATGGGGACAAGGAGAAAGCGGATGGCTGGACCCAATGCAGGGAAGTGACCTCACTGGCACCTTTGTTTTCGCGCTCAGTACACTCGCTGTTCTGTGCCTTTCAAAAGCTTGCTTTTCTCTCTCTCTCTCTCCTTTTCAGGTTAAATGCGCACAGCATTAGAGATGGCTTCTCTCGAAACGAGGAAACGGGAATCTTTTCAAGGAGCCTGCCCGCCTATCAGTTGCTCCGTTTCGTCAGAAATAAACGGCGTCTAAAGATGCTATCAATAACCATGCCCGCTCTGGGTCGGCTCTTTTGGAATATAGACTCTGAGTCGATGGTCAGTTTAGAATAGACCTGTTGTAACGCTAGGTGTTGTATACACCATTGCTTCATCGAGGCACATTTCTACGTTACAGATGTAACATTTTATTTAGATAATAATCTCGAGTGTTTGCTCAGCCAGTTCTCTGCACCGTGTCTGGGATAAAGTCCTCGACAGACATCAGAATAATTTTTTTGCGCTGTTATGCGTTTTATAGGATCATTTTCAGTTACCCTCAACACAGGTCAATAACCGCGCTAGTATTTTAGTTCAATATTTCACTAGGCATTTGTTAGTGGTCCGCTTGGTAGGCCGCTCCGTGTTTTATTGCTGGGGTATCTCTTCATTTCAACCTGTCCTGCCACAGGTTCTTACACCCATCTATCCACACCCACACACCCACACCCACACACACACACACACACACACCTACACACACCATACACACACTCACATACCAACACATACCCACACACTCCACACAGTACAACTAATACAGAAAAACAGCACCAAATATTTGAATAAATTATATTTAAATATGAGTCTACAGTTATATCCCCTTGATGTTTCCTTTTAAAACAATTTGCATTAATAAAAGCAAATTGGTGAAATTACTATCATGACTGTCACGAAAAGTCACTATCCATAACTCCCATCTCACCCAGTATGATTAAAGATGCTTTACTTTCTGCAGGTATTTTGTAAAGCCGCGGTTGAGATGCAGAAACCATGTGGAATCACTCTAGCGTCTGTTTCTGTGTGTGTATGTGTCTATGCGAGCGTGTTCATTTTGCCAGCACGTCAGGGACTTGGCACTGTGTGAATGTATTGAGTTAGTTGTGAGTTCTGCTCAGTCAGGTCAGTCAGTCGCTATGTAATGCTGCTGAAGACGGCATCACTAAGACCTTTGCAAGTACTAATACTGCTGCCGAACGTTATGTTTATTATAATCTACGACATTCTCCGAATCATCAGTTCCCTGTCCGGTTGCAGGTAATCGCGGGTCGGGGAGGTTTTGTTTGGGCCTTTCCAATAATTGTAAGATGCAATGAAGGCCAATGACCCGAAAATCCTGCTTAACCTGCAGTCTTTCTAGCATTTCTGTTTTTATTTTAGGTTTTTAAATTCCGTAGTATTTTACCTTCACGTAATTATAACATCGGTTTTCAGGTTTTAAAACTTTCCCTTTAAGTTAAAAAAAACTCAGAACGTTTCTTACTATATATTATTAGGGGTTGCATTGTAATGTAATATGTTCTGTTCTGTAGGCAATGCCACATAGGAAACCTCTTCATGAAGTACTGTACTTTTGTGGTCTCCGCTATAACCCACTTTTTAAAAATATGAATTGCTGCCAGTTTATTACTTTGTGGCACTGAAAAAGAATTGTTTCGAGTTCTAGTCGCCCTGCTACAGGAAGGATATTATTAAATTTGAGAGCGTTCAGAAAAGATTTACCAGCATGTTGCCGAGACTGGAAGGTTTGTGTTGTCAGGAGAGGCTGGATAGGCTGGGACTCTTTTTCACCAGAGCGTTAGAGGTTGAGGCGTGACCTAATAGAAGTTCATAAAATCAAGGGGGGGAAATGGCTATGGTGAATATCAAGGGTCTTTTCCCTAGGGTGGGGAAGTTCAAATTATTTTTGAATATTTTTAAGGTGAAAGGACAAAGATTTAACAGGGACTGGAAGGGCAACGTTTTCGCACAAAGGGCGGTTCATATGTGGAATAAACTGCCAGAGGAAGTGGTAGATGTAGGTACAGTTGCAATATTTAAAAGTCATTTGGATAGGTACATGAATAGGAAAGGTTTAGAGGATATGGGCAAAACGCAAGCAAGTGGGATTAGTTTAGTTTGGGAAACTTGGTTGGCATGGACGGATTGTACAGGAAGGTCTGTTTCCGTGCTGTATGACCCTATGACTGAGTTATGTCAGTTTTTTTTTTCTCTTTTCTGTATATTTTCATCTATGATCGTGTCCCTGGATGCAAGTTTTCATTTTCGCTTTGTACCTCTGCATTCCAAAAGGATGAGACAACCCGTGTTATAATTACGTAAAATCAGCGTTAGGTTTGGAAGAAGAGTCAAATTTGACTCGAAGCGTTAACTCTGTTTCTCTCTCCACAAACGTCGTCAGACCTGTAGAATTTCTCCAGCGCCTCCTGTTTTTGTTTTATTTTAGATCTCCAGCACCCGCAGTGCTTCAGTTTTTGTTTTAATACATTCATTCCCGGCTGCTCCCAGTGAACTGACCGGGTCTCTCCGGAGACGTTCCACGGAGATTGACATTCTCATTATCAACTGCAAAGTAGCTTTAGGAGAACCAACAACTATTACCTCCATTTCGGTGTTTAATATTAACTTGCTTTAGTGTTAATTAAGATACTACACATGAAAGCAGAAAACCATACTTGTGCACATGTGACATTTATATAAATGATAAGGAATACAAATAGCATCAACGTATTTCATTCTATAACACAATTTAATATTTAATAGGCCAGGTCGCGGGCGGCGAACAGCATGATTTCGGGGGCTTTTAATCAACAGCAATGGAAATGAAGTGGAATGCAGATAGCCAGTGCTTAGGCGATGGCCCGAATGGCCGCCTCTGCATTAATACCATTCTATGGCTCTGTTAAATAAACAATTACATTCAAAGGGATGGAGAAGGAACAACATAGTGAGAAGGATGGGAATCTTAAAAGGCATACAGCCAGGAGGATGAAGGGAGCTCGCAGTATACACGGAGCAAACAGTTAAAAAAAAGGGCTTGGACCAAGTTTGAGAGTTTGATTAAGATATCGAGAGACAAGGGGGGAGGGCGGGGAGAGAGTCTGGGGGAGACGTCCCATTGAGGGAACCTCGCACCAATAGTGTTGAGCGGCTGCTGGCTCCGCATCCGCAATTGGCTGAAGCTGCTCCACTCCATGATAAATACCTTCACTCTTGTCTGTTGTCTCTAGGCTCATGTTGGGAGCGGCCAGAAGGTGACTTTGTCCCCGACACCGAACAGCACAAAAAGCTTGCAGTCCTCAGCGGCTGAAACTCTCAATCCATTCGAGTTCCGGCTTCGTACTCACCAGAAAGAGAGAGAGAAAATAACGATTCCAGATTTGAGAGCGAAGCGTTTGCTTGGCCCATTCCATTGGTCCATTTCCCCCACTCCCCCCACACCGCCTCATTCTTTCCCGAAAAGGACTCGGGGCTTCAGACCATGAGCGAGTTGCTGAAGTCGTCCCCGAACGAACTGCTGTTGGTCACCTCCACCCTGTATAACATCCCTCACAAGATCGATCCGGCCGAGCGCTCTCACGCTCCGGACGAGTCGCCCAGCCCCACCCCGTCAGGCAAGTCGAGGAGTAAGAAAGATCTGTCCGAGGACGAGCAGTTCCTGCTGAGGAAGAAGATCAACAGCCGGGAGCGCAAGAGGATGCACGACCTGAACGTCGCCATGGACGCCCTGAGAGATGTCATGCCTTACGCCCACGGCCCCTCGGTGCGGAAACTGTCCAAAATCGCCACGCTGCTGCTGGCCAGGAACTACATCCTGATGCTGACCAGCTCTCTGGAGGAGATGAAGCGGCTGCTGGGCGAGATGTACGGCAGGAGCGGCTCGGCGACGCGCCTGGGCCAGCTGCCCGTGCTGACCGCCGCCGGGGGCTCGCTGCTGCTTGGGGCCGCCCCTTCGCTCTTGACCCTCGGCAGCCCCCGCCACTCGTCCCCCGGCATCAAGTGCCCTCTGACTCCGGACGATCAGCCTTGCTTCCAGCAGTGGCCCGGCTCTCCCTGTGCCTGCGCGGCCTGCAGGTTTCACTGCCTTCCCTCCGGCCTCAGTGCGCCCAGTCACCAGGCCAGGTTTCCCAAGTGATGCTGGAATTCACCGGTGGAACTCCGCACTAGGACTTTACTCAAACTGTTCATTGTGTGTAAAAAAAAGCGTGCGAATGGTTTTAAAAAGAAATAGATGCGTACGGATCTGGGCTAGAATATTTTCTCTACATAATAAACACTTGCCGAATTTCACTGTTGACACTAATGCTTAGGGTTAGTAAATGGATTAGGATTTCATTGATGTTATGGCCAAAGCTACTCACTGCTTTAGGATTATCCGGATAGCTTTCCAGTCTATCTCCCCGCGCGACTTCATCACAGAGCCTTCCCAATGTAGGTATTAGACTACAATAATCTGTGGATGTCAGGCTGGAGAGACTGAAACAACCAAGTCAACTATTTCTTTCGTTTTGTATAAAGAAGTTTCATTCTAATTGCCGAATAACCACATTTTTATAAACCTTCGAGCTCTTCTTAACAATTGAACGGCTATTTATTATCAAAGTATTAGCAACACCTCTCCTTGTTTTATACTTGATCTCATAAATGCATCCTTTTTATAAAGAAAAGCTCTTGACAACTGAACCATTACTGACGAATGACTTGTTTTGTTGCCGATTGTTATAATTAAATTACATGTATTAAATGTCCTGTACAGTTATATATATATACAATAAATGTTTTGATATGCACTATAGAGTTATTTTCTACGTTTGTTTTACGTTTCTACTTGTCACCCCCATATCAGCAATGAGATGTCCCAATAACCATAATGTCATTGGCAAATTATCCGTCGCAGGGACTGAGCTTTCTTAATTTCAGTTTTCAGAAGTATTTCAACGGGTGTTTGTAATGAGACATTTCCTTTTTGCAAACGAATCGGTTCACTAACGAGTTTTCTTTTTACTAACTAATGCGCAAAAGTTTGCTTTCAACAAATGCGCTGTGAAATTACAAACAAGCCGAGAATGACAGTATCATTTAAAAGTGAATTACGGTGTAAATAACTATTGATCAGAAATTTCATTAATTGAAAGCAGCACTCAATACAGTGTCCAGACTAACATCAAGATTAAATGCTGTTATATTCGCTAAGTATTATAACCGAATGAGTTGACTTGTTTCATTTCTTCGTTATTTGTGCCTTATGTGAATCCATACATTAACTATTACCCGTTGCTTCCTACACGCTGAAAGACTTCGCGTTGCACTTAATTTGAAGCTAACGATCATTGGAAAAGTTATCTTGCCCTAATAGATTTCAAAATGCTACACGGTTATGACAAATTATTTTTGTTTTGCGGCACACGACGTTGCAAAATGAAACAATTTTTTTTAGAGAATGATCAGCATTGGGGTAGGTCAAACGTTTTATTTCTCGCACAACACCTTGGGTCGTGTGAAACCCGAAATGAAAATTAGTCGCAAATCGCTACTACAGTAATATCGCTCGGACTCCTTTTGTCTTGCCGGCCTGTTGGTTTGAAAGGAGATGTTAGGTAGGGGCAGTATTGTTGTTACAAAATAAAAAGTAGCAAAGTAGAAGAAACAACACTCGGCTGTCAAGCTACTGGAACTGGAAGGCGAGGCGCTATTCAGCGCTATGCCCTTTACAGGTCTAATAGTATTTGTAAACAGTAAGGCATTTCATCTGTTTGCATTGAGTGGCTGAGGATCGCTCTCATCTGAGGACATCCCATGCTTGTGTGTGGCTGCGGATTAGCTCACCAAGCCCCTGATCCTTTCAGATTGACAGCGACTCTCACATATTCTCTACCAGCGTCACTCTCACCACGAAAGGTGCTGCTTTCACCCGGAATAAGGCGCAAATGGATTTTTTTTCCCAGAATCATCACATTTGTGTCTGCGGTCATTTCCTCTGCATGTTCGGTTTCGATACATCTTCTATTCAAAATAACCTGCCGCGTGGAAAATGTGCACGGACATCCTCGGGATTGACAGTAAATATTGGTCTGACTTTCACGCTAAATTGTCCGGTAAAGGGGAGTGCAGTATCGTGGATTCGATACTGACGGAATGACAGGGAACACGGGTAAGGGGCTGGACGAGGGCTTGGAATGGAGGAAAAGTGTTGGGACCCCTGCCCATCATTAACTCAGACCTTGGTGTAAAGGGTACAATTTCAAAATTGAGGGGCTCTAGTACTGCAGTGGCAGTGGCCCCATCTCCGGGCCCGGTTCAAGTCCCATCTGCTCCGGCCGTGTGTCATAGCATCTCTGAACAAAATGATGACGAAAATATTTATAATTTCAAAATTTGAGGATTATGTGAAACTTGGAAGTATGGTGATCCATGAGGAGGATCGTGTGGAACTTCAAAAGGATTGAGGTGGAAGCTGAAAATTAATACCAGGAACTAGGAAGTGTTTCATTTTGCTGAGAAGAATAGAGAAAAGCAGTACAAATTAAAGAATACAATTCCAAAGCGGTTGTAGGAGAAGAGGGACCTGGATGCACATGTGCATGAATCATAGATGATGGCAGGACAAATTGAGAGCTATATTGCATCCTAAGCTAACCAGTAAGGCTGTAAAGTACGAAAGGAAGTTATGTTAAACATGTGGTTAGGTTTCAAGTGCAACATTGTGTCCAGTCTGGGCACTACACTCTAGGAAGTGTGATGAAAGATGTGTAATTTATATATTGATATAATATATATGTAATTTCTGGAGTGTGGATTTCAAACTAATGTCATGTAGGTGGAAAAGCTCAGCAGGTCTGGCAGCATCTGTGGAGGAGAAAACAGAGTTAACGTTTCGGGTCCGGTGACCCTTCCTCAGAACTGATGGTGGCTGCGAAAACGTCAGTTTATCCGAAACGTTAACTCTGTTTTCTCCTCCACAGATGCTGCCAGACCTG